TATTACTTGAGGTCTTTTATATGACCCTTTAGGATATGTTAAGGTCTTGTGGCATGTTTAGATAGATTGACTATAAGTTTTGGTTTATGAATTGTAAAGTGTATCAATGATTTTGGGCTTATTATAACTTACAGTATCCAAGAATTACATTTTTGCTGTAATCGAGGGCATTGTTTTTAGAGAATATAGTAAGTAGTGGCCAAGAATTTTTTATTTTCAACAATATTGTTATCAAATATATACTTTATTTAATAAAAACAAAAGGTATAATAAAAATAAATGCATAGTATAGTCTGTTTTCATCTTACTGTACAATAGCATAATGTATTTTACTCTTTATATCAATATATTTTTTCAGACTTTCTCAGTTACACCATGTGTTGAAGTTTCTTGCGCTGAAGAAGCATTTTCTTCTTTAGCCTTACGACTTTTAGCGTAAGCGGCAATAACAAAGGCATAATGAATCTGTAATATGTCAAGAAATGGTTATAGTTGCTAAAAAGTTAATCAGATACAAGTTACATTGAACATACCATAGTGATAGCCAATATGACATAAATAATGGCAGTTATTATTATAGCTGTATTAATTGCGTTACTACACTTGTCCGCTATATCATTACCAGAATTATTGCTGGACTGAATACAACTATCCACAAAGGTGCCTTTACGTACAATCTCTAATATGAATGTGATTATTAAACTTAGAATTTCAATAATCACAATAATATTATAAATTATAGAATAAATTCTTAAAAGATATGCTGTTTTCTTATAAAGATAAAATTTTTAGTCAGTGCCGTAGAGATAGTGATTACGATAATAATGTCATCAACCACACATTATATTACACATATGACATACCGCACAACAACAAACGAAAAGTCCATAAATAAATGCTAGAAGGAATATGACGTTTATAACTAAGCCTACAAAGAATTCAGAATTATCTATAGAAACAAATTAATGATATTAGCATCTAGTAAAAAAAAAATAAAAATATATATAT